AGAAGGAATTATAGTTACCAATTTTGACTGCAATGGCTACAGTTGCTAACTATGTCAGACAATCGTCGGTTCCAGCTATCTTTGAAATGAACAAAACAATGAGTCGTAGTACGAAGCACTTCATAAAATGACCATGACTTGTTATCATTTAGATCTCATGTTTATCTAGGAGTAGTATCTAAAGATGAGTAACCACTTAAGCGTCATGGATATTATAAAAGAATGGTTATATAAAGGGTCAGTTTTTTTTTCTGATAAATATAAAAATGAAATTTTCTCATACAAAAAAGTTGATTTTATGAAACACTCTCCTGTTACAGGTTGAATCATCCTTTATATCTGTGTAATACGTTGCGTTAAGCACGTTCATACCTATATTATATCATGTAACTGTCTGCATCGGCTCAGTCTAGAGTTAAGTATATCGATAGTCGATACATGCTACTTGAATTGTATTGTGACCACAATGACAAACTGGAAGAGTAGCGTTACCACTACCCTCGGTGCAGATATTAACTACACACTACAGGGTTGTGCATAACCTTTTGCTAGGGGGTTAACGCTATTATTTCAAGTTGAATACCTAATGAATTTTATACCAAATTAAAGAGCGTCGAAAACTGGATTTATTAGTACTAAATAGTAAGAGTTATCAAAATATGTCAATGCCGAACTTACGAAATTTTATGCTTTTTTTAGCATAGTAAATTAAGGCACCAGCAATTCAAATATAGAGTAAGACATTTTCTTTTGATATTTTTACATGGTTCGATAGAGCTCGACGAGCTCTACAAAACTGTATATATCAAAAGTTTTTTAAGTCATTTTTCTGAGACAAAAAATTTTAAAAATTACTTGTAAAATCTTAAAAAAAGATCTAAAAACTCGTTTTTTTATATGAAAGAAAAACACTTGATTTTTTCAATGAAATTAGCTTTTTTCATTATTTTTACCAATAAAGACGCTTCGAAATGTACTCATCCGATGTAGCGTGAAAAAGTGCGTCTAACGAGTATATCGCGAAGCGTCTTTGTTAGTAAAAATAATGAAAAAAACTAATTTTATTGAGAAAATCGAGTGTTTTTCTTCCCTATAAAAAGTTGCTGGTGCCTTAATTTTCTATGCTAAAAAAAGCATAAAATTTCGCAAGTTCGACATTAACATATTTTGATAACTCTTACTATTTAGTACTAATAAATTCAGTTTTCGACACTCCTTAATTTGGTACAAAATTCATTAAGTATTCAACTTGAAATAATAGCGCTAGCCCCCTAGCAAAAGGTTATGCACAACCCTGTAGACTCTCTTGAGATCCTCTGTAACAAGCTTTCATAGTACCTTCTGGTCGAAAAAGTTCAATACCCGAACAAGAACACTTGAGGTCAATTTTATCGCTATCTGTACCAATAACTCTAGCTGTTCAACCGCTTGCTAACGCCTGTAATTTCTTTGAAAACGTCATTTATATTTGTCTCTGCTATACATCATTTAAAACCTTAAACAGAACCATTACAATTCATAAAAAGTATTCTTATTCAAACATTAACTTTTTTCTTTTAAAAAGTAGTATACAACTCGTAGTAATATTTTATTTTAGTGATAAACGAAAACGACTTTTTGAAAAATCCAGATAAGACTGATTGAAATCTAAAAATCTGCTGTGACTATAATTTCTGAGACAGCAGTGAAAAGCTAACTTTTTGGGAGAACAAATTTTGAGAAGAATGTTACATTTATCTTATCAAACACTTCAGACGACATCATTGATATACGAAGCTTCCTTCGATATGTACAAATAGAGAGTTTCTGCAGCAGTGATAGAAAATGACTTGATAGTGTATACTTTATTGCCAGTGCCATGAAACTCCTCGAATTTAGTATGTTTCTGCTATTCTCACAAAATCTTACAAATTGTGTAAGGTAGAAACGTGTGAATAATTTTCTCAGCATAAAAACATATTATACTAACTTGTAGCTGAACAGAAAATTGTTATATATCTGTTTGATAAACAATTGTGTACAAACAACGGTGTTTGAATACAATTTACGAGATTCTGTTCATTTGTAGGACATTGAAAATTTTCCAAAATAAATCCACACGGAAGATCCATAACTTCACCCGAGTAACGAAAATAACAGCGATCATTTTCACCGCCAGCTGAATCTGGTGTTCATGTAACATTTCGGTCTGTCATTTCATATTTTTTCCCAATTTGACGACAGACAGCTTCACAGACAGCACCTTCAAATTTAAGATATGCAGAAGAAAGGATTGAAACCACATGAGTTTTTATAGCTTACTTACCTTCAATCGAAAAATACTCTACATCTCCTTTAGGTGATGTTAATCGTACATCAACTCGCACTCTTAATGGATCGAGACTGATTACAGTGATGTTCGCATATTGACGTCGAGATAATAGAAAATTGTAAAAATCTTCATATGATTTGGTTGTCGAGCAATTACTGTTATCGTAGAAACGCCAAATACTGTAGCCAAACACAATCAAGACTATGACGATTGCTAATTGAACATACGTAACCCACAGCTTCTGGTTCGTGGCTGAGTGATCAGATGCAGAAGAAGAAAATAATTTAGTCTTCTCCATTGGTATTGTTCATCAAAGATATGAACTTGTTCATAGAATAAAATTTGATATTATATACTTAACTCAGAACATTTGTTTCTGTTCTTTAGTCATAAATCCTTTTCTTATCGCAAAACTCCTCTATTTTATTTTTTTTCAGGACTATTCAAACACCATGCTCGTTTTTTCCCAAAAAATAAACTTTCAAATGAAGTTTTTTACTCTAACCATACAGTGAGTACTTTCAAAAAAAAAGGAAGTAGAGCTAATAACTGTGTCGGACGTCTAAGTAGATAGAAACTTATCGGCAACATTTTGTGTCAACACGTTGGACAAAGGAAGAAAAAGCAGATTCCATCTATCTGGGATAGGGTGGGAATTCAGAGGATTATCTGGAATGCATAGGATATTTGAGAGATGCATAAGATAAGAGTCTACAAAGTCAGTAAATACATATTATATGAGGTAGATATCATGAGATTAATGATAAGTTGATTTTGGTTAATATGTGTCGTCTATATCAAAGAGTTTGAATACTGTGTTTTAATATATTTCGAAGGTGAATGCATTGTCTTATGTAACGTGATGAATTCAAATTCAAAATAATAACGATATGAGTTGAGGTGTGGATGTGGGTGAGATTGTTTACCATTTACTCACACCCACACCCACACCCAAGGTGGTACATGACTTCTAGAATTCTAGGTTTTTCCGGAGTATATATTTTATTATATCGATACATAGACTCGATACAGGGTGGTACAAGGTGATATGAAGGGGCACAATGTGGCACAAGGTAGTACATAGTCGGCTGTGAACAGCCTGGTACAAGTTGTACTCGTACTTGCGCAGCTCTTGGGTGTGGGTATGGGATATCGGTGTGGATCTTTTCCTCACCGACAATCACATCTACACCAACAGCCACACCCGCGTATTAACTATGCGCTGTATACATGCAAGAGTTTAGTCAATGCAAAACTCCTATACAATGAACACCTCCTTTAATGAACACTTTTTAGTGGGTCCCGTTGCCATTCATCATAGTGAGGTTTTACTGTATTTTTTCTGGATGGCTATTTCAGAAAGCGAAGGACAAACGAAACAACAACAAGATCATTTTTTTACTTCTCAAACATTTAAGATAAAAGTTTCATGTTAAAATAAATTTCTTATCTCGTTTACGTTTATTTATTGTGTTAGGTAGTGGTGCCACCTCTCATCCACTACCTCTATCTGTTCTTTTCTCTTCTCTCTTGATTGGCTAATGGCTTGATCCATATAGAGATAAGCTCACGTATTAGTTTTTTTTCTTTAATTAAAAACGCGAACCAGGAGTGTGTTGATCGACACTTCCTAACATATTGTTCTGTTCTTTGTCCTTATCAAAACACCTGCACAATACCCTTTAAAGTTCAAAGTATAGCTTTACAACCAGATCAATCACATCTCTTCTATTTAATTCTTATCAACAATCTTGTTTTATCAGTATCATTGCCTATGCTTCTCCATTTTAATAACTCAAATGAATGATTAAGTTACATATTTAAATGCAAATGTGTGAAACAATGGATGCAAATTCTCAAGAATGGGGTATAGATGCATTTATACCGTATTATCGCAACTGGCTTTGCAATTTTCAGACAGTTAACAATGAACTATTGGCAACAATTCTTCAGAAGAATCACTCTTGTGCTTTTTTCAAAGATAGATCGATTTCATTCTTGTCAACAAATGATACTACTGGAGAAAGAGAATATAAATCAGTCGATGAATTTCGAGAAAAAGTTCCATTGACAACATATGAAGACTATCGTGATTATGCAAATAGAATGGTTGTTGATGGAGAAAAGAATCTGCTCTGTATCGAAAATATCCTTCATTTTGCAACTAGTACTGGAACGACAGGAAAGATCAAGCTTATTCCTGTAACTCCACAGATGATAAGAACAATTAATGAAATCGCACACCTAGCATCTTCTGTTATTCGGAAATCGTTTCCTTCTTCATCATCTTCTTTTCCTGAGCAACATCCTTTCACTTTGCTAGGCGGAAAAAACACAGAACTGTATCAAAGATCAAAAGATGGCATTCCAATGGGTCCTGTTACTCAATATTTTTCGGCTAATCCAACAATTCCTCGAACTCGATCCTTGTTGTCTATTAATAATACCCTAACATTGGATATTATTGAAGGAATCTATGATTTTGATACAAGTGCATTTGTTCAACTCGTTTTTGCATTGGCGATTCCGGATGTTTCCTCCTATACGGTTTATTTTGCTCCAGGATTCATTCATACTATGAAATTAATCGAAAATTATTTTGAAGAAATGAGTCTTTGTATTTCTTCTGCTAATTTCGATCAAAGTTCACTCGTTCAAAAGAATATTGTGGATCCAGACTTTCGAACAACCTTAAATCAAACATTGAACGAAGTGATTGCTCAATATGGCGGACAGACATATCGATTGGAACGAGCTGAACATATTCGATATGAATGCCTCAAAAAAAATGTTCCAGGACTCCTGCATCGTCTTTGGCCTAATATGATTTATGCTTCTACGACGATAGGAAGCACATTTTTAATGTACAAAGAAGTCGTTCAATATTATTGTGGAGAACGGCTAACTCTGATTAATTTACTTGTCTATGGTACAAGTGAAGGCTTCTTTGGATGTATTGCAAGTATTCACACTGATGAGTACCTTCTATTACCAACATCCGCATTTTTTGAATTTATCAAAGAAGAAGATATCCAACAAGTAAGTCTCCTGAAAGAAGTTGTAATCAAACTGCTAACTTTGTATCCAAAAAACAATTTACCTAGAATTCCGTTAGCTGTAAAATCAGTATTGAATGATGGCTGTGTTGTAGGAATTTACTTTGTACTTGATAACACTTTAATTTTTCAGACTTGGACTCTCCTGATATCGGAAAACATTTCTTATCACCGATCAAATTGAAGTCTATTGTAGTTCGACGGAGCTGAGTGCCTTGAGTTCGAAAATCACATTTTAATCTGAAGTATTTTCTGAAAGCTCTGGGAATCAGTTATTGGATCATTTGACGGGATTTTTATTTTCCACCATAATCTATAAGAACTTCTTGAACATTTCAATCCTTTTCTAACGATATAGGCCAGATACTTCCCCGACTGGATCAGTTTACTACAAACGATTGTTTTTTTCAGTCTTATGAAGTTGTATTTTATACAGGTACGTTAACGAGATTTCTTTTTAATGAATGTGTAACTCGTTATGTTCTTTTTGATGAAGTTATTTTGAGTTTAAAATTCGACGTGTGAATGTTGACTCTGTGCTCAGAACCGTGTTTTCTGGAGTTTGATATGAGTCAAAATAGTTTCGTATTAGCCACTTGAAAGCAAAAGTAATATGTTCTGGATCATAATTCTTTCAATGTGATATAAAGTGTAAACTTATTTATGCATTTACATTTTTTTTTGAGTTAGTCGACATGGTTCTCTTTCGACTCATACCAAATTGTAGAAAACGGGATTTTCAGCCCAAAGTCGACCTTTAAACATCGAATTTTAAGCTGGATATAATTTCATCAAAAAATAGCACAGTGATTTACATATTTAGTAAAACAATCTCACTCGTGCATTTATGTAAACTGCAACTTCATAAGACCAAAAAAACTATTCTTTGTAGCAGTATGACTCAGTTGGATGGTACTTGACCTATATCGCTAGAAAAATATTGAAATATTCCAGAAGTTTTTACAGATTCTGATAGAAAATAAAAATATGTGTCGAATGGATTTGTGTGGCGCATCTAAGTTGAATTTTCATCGACTTTCCGATCAAAAACTGAATTTCAGCGCTGGCAAAAAATGCTTAAGATCTTTTTTTTATTATTGAAGTACTTTTGAAAAAATGTGTCTTTCAAAACCAACATACTCAACTCTATCGAACCCTATAGACTTCAAATGTAATGATGGTAAAAATGTTTTTCGGTGCCTGGAAAACTGCAGGCCTCACAATAATCAGGATTCAGTACTGATTCGAAGGCTAATGAAATTATAGGTCAATTTTTCGGGATGCCAAGTTACTAATTTGACAAATCTTCTTCGACAGTCAAGTCAAATTTTCACTAGTGACTTGTTATACATGTTTGCAAACAGCATCGATCTAGTTGAGTAACAGAGTCTGCTATTCAAGTTGAAAGCTAATTTGCTTTTGATGAATAATAAAGAAAATTTTGAGAGTCAGTTTTATTCCTCAAATTACTACTTCTTTTTTTCTTGAAAAAGTGCGAATGTTATAAGTTATTTTCTATTAACTTCTAAGAATGTCAACTCGTTTTTCACAGTTTTTGCCTACAAACAAACTACGACAATAACTACTTCATAAAAAATATTTCGTACTCAATTTTGTGTACGAAGCAAAATAATTAGTACTAACTAAAACATTCAAACCTTTTCATAAAGTAGAATCTGTGAGACAACGTGGGTTTTCTGAGCTTCTTCAGAAGAAATTTTCTTTTCAACTAAAAAATAACATATATGTTCACACATACACACAGATGTGTACTCTTTCCAATCATCTACAAAAATTCGAAAACGAAAATTTTACTTAAACTTCAAATTGTATGATTCTTATGGTGTTCTCTAAACTGTTGGACCCTACTTCGTTCAACTGTTTTATTATGTAATTGATTTTCTAATTCTTATTCAGGCTCAACCAAAAACTCTTCTTCTCTCAGAGCTTGAACCAGGACATCGATACGAAGTAGTTTGTACAACTGACGGTGGATTGGTTCGATACAGAATGGGTGATGTCATCAATTGTACAAGATTTTATTCTCGAGCCAATGATTTGATCTCATTACCAGAAGAACCACTCGACACTCCTCGAATTCCTCTCATTTCGCTTGCATATCGTGTTGGAAACGTTTTAAGTATATTTGGTGAGCAAATAACTGAACAACACATGATGAATGCTCTTCAACAAACAACTCGTCAATGGAGAGAACGAGGAACACCGGTTGATCTGCACGATTTTACATCGTGTCCGAAATTAGATGTATTTCCAGCCAAATATGTTATCTTTGTGGAATTGATTGAAGATCAAGGATACAAAATTAATGCACAACAACTTCGAATTCTTCAGAATACCGCCAGTGCAGAAGTCGATCAACAACTTTGCAAAACGAACCAAGGTTATACAAAAAGTCGAAGTGCAACAAAGCTTGATTCACTTGATTGTATTTTTGTTCGAACTGGAACATTCTCGACATTTAAGGCCAAATTCTTGATGACCGATCGCACCAGTCCTGTGCAAATCAAACCTCGTCGAATACTGAAGAATGAAGATCACATTCGATTCTTTTATGACAATCAAATTGATATATCATCATCGTAATTATCATGTATTTTTTTATAATGACAGTGACCATCGAAATAATATTCATTTGACATGCTATCTATTTACTTTTTTAGTTTGATTAACGCCTTTTTTTTAATTCCTTTTTTGAAAGAAATGGTTATAGGGTCGTTACCCGGACCCGAGCGGGTCCGGCTCCTACCCGACGGGGTCTAGTGTAGAGTGTGGGCAAGGGGGAACAAGCGTACTTCTGTACTTCTCTGTACTTCCTTTGTACTTCTCCGTACTTCTCCGTACTTCTCTGTACTTCTCCGTACTTCTTCGTACTTCTCTGTACTTCCTTGGTACTTCTCCGTACTTCTCCGTACTTCTTCGTACTTCTCTGTACTTCTCCGTACTTCTCGGTACTTCTTCGTATTCCTTCGTAGTTTCGTCTACCTCGACAGTAATCTTTATATTTGTACCATTGCTACTTTGTATGAATACTGTTGTTATCACTTTAATTTTTATTAGTTATGCTTAAATAACACTTCAAATTCATGAATAATATAAAATCATATAGAATGCACACGAAAATAAAACAATAAATAGAAGAAATTATAATTTGTTAGGTATAGAAATGTGCTACACTTCCTCATAACAAATAATCGAGCCATTCTTCTGTAAAATATTTAAGCTAAATCCATCTATAGTTAATAACATGAAGGCGAGTAAAAAAAGAAGAACAGCGTACATAAGTAAGTTAAAAAAGAATAATTACATGAATGTTGAAAAGGTGTTTTTCACTAGAATTTAACAACAGCAGATGCACAATAATATGAGAGGGTGTGGGTGGGTGGGTGTGGGTGTGGGGTGTGGGTGGGATGTGGGTGTGGGCGTCGGAGTATTCAATTTCTCTTTCGCTACACTCACAACCACGCGCACACGCACACCCACACCCACACCCACACACCCACACCCACCCACACCCACACCCACACCCACACCCCACACCCACACCCACACC